ACAATAAAAAGGTGACGAATTTACCAAAACTTTTTCTGAATTTTCGACAACATTCTTATTCTGAAAAATGGAAATTGAATCATAAAATTTCATTTTACAATACATTTTTATCAAACTTGTTAAAAAAATTCAATGAAAAGATACAAATATTATCATCCCTATTTTATTAGATAGATGGAAAAAAGTTGCTAGATAAATATCCTAAAAATTTATATAAAATAATCAACCTTTGACACTGACTTGATGAAAACTTGTCCCATTTTTTTTGAAATCAAATAAGAAAAACTAGTTGAAATTTCGCGAAATCGCAATAATCTAAAACAAAAATAAAAATTCATCTTTCAAGAAATTTTATCTTCGGCTATTAAGCTCTCAACAAATTCAACGTTTAATGGTAATTCTACAGTAGATAGATACCTTGTCCATCCAAATATAGTTGCGAAATGATGCGTACTGATGAATCATACAAGTAAATCCAAAATAACTAAAAATTTCAGACAAAATCCACTAACACATGGCAAAAATTTTGGCTCTTCACTGACAACAAATCTCGAAATTTGAACAAATATAACGTGAAGAGATAAAAGATAGACTGTAGATAAATTTCTTAGATCACACTTTGAAATATCGGAGAAGCGAACAAGATATTCAGTGAAAAGGCTATACAAAATCGATTTATTCAGATTCAAACAAATTTCTTCGAGCAATGCAAGAGATAATAAGAATGATAGAGTGACAGAAAATACATATAAAATTTATTAAATATATCTTACCTATATAAAATTTATTAATATATTCATATATATATATATATATATATAATTATCTCTAAGAAGTAAAAATATATAAATCTACAGCCAAACATATTTTTTATCAAAAATAGTTTGACATTTAATAACTATTTTTTAATTAAATATCAATCCGAAAGCAAAAAAACTTCTCAACGGCACGATTCATGTAAAGCGTTTTTTGGATATCTCATGTCGAATATAAGTGGAGGCAAGAAATCTTTCATAATTTTTCTGAAATATAGAAATATGCAAAGAAAACAAGAAAAGGAATATATAAGACTATATGAGTAATATTTACAATAAAAAAAGAAAAAATTATTTCGAAAACTTAGGAAATAATTGCCTGTTCTATAAATATTAAATAAATTTAAAAAAATAAGCAAAAAACTCACTTGCAAAACCGGCATTTTACATCGAATACACTCGAAAATTTGGCAAAAAGAGTGAAAATATAAGAAAGCGTATGCGCATTTCGAAAATCCATGCAAGGCATTATTGTCTGCATCAAATGAATATTGGCTTGCACGCTCATTTTGCGATAAACTATGTATCGACTTTCGCGAAGAATATCAATCTGAAAAACAAACTGACAAATGAAACATTTAAAGTGTAGAAAAAATTAGCACTTTACCTATTGAAAATTTCACACAATTATCCAAATGATAAACCTGTCTATGAGAAGCATCCATGTATGACCAATCTTCATGAGGCGCAATAATTTGCACAAATTCAAATACTCCATTGTTCACAACAATTAACATTTTCAAAAGACACACATACTGCTTCTCAACATAATGACCAAATCTAAGCTGAAAAAAGAAACTATACTTTTTTGTAAAAACATTTATTAATTATTAGTCTATTAATTATTAATTATAGTCTAATTAAAAGCAAGTTCAAATACTATTAAAATTCCGAAAATAACACTAGAAAACCTCGATTATTGAAGATAGAGCAGTTTTCTCCAAATAACGTCCAATGAGACCAATTTTTTTCGTGCTCGGATCTTTTAATACAGCTGCTAACGTCTGTTCGAAAATAAATTGTGGTGAACTCGTCGGTGAATAATTTGAAAATGAAATCGGTTTATCAGTCATAATTGAACGACGACGATTGCCAATGAAAGTTCGCAAAAAATCAGCGAACAACATTTGCAACAGTTGCTAAAAAAATAATGAACTGGATGTAGAACAAAGGAAGGGACGGTATTGATCATGAAAGACCCATAAGAGAACAACACCGTCCAATCATCGGCTAATAACTTAAGATTTTCATCGAGAACTCAATGGGATTATAAAAAACAACACCTTAAATAGACTCAAAATAGTTTGTACAAGTGGACATCAAGTGCGTTATATATCAAGATGATGCATGTCCTCATGGGTTTAAACACTGCTCAACCAGGTTATTGCAAGTGGATAGAGAAAAAAATTCAAGAGCGGAACTACCATTAGTCATCTTCCCTACATGGATGACATCAAGTTAAATGCTAAAGGCGAACGATGCATTGATTTATCTAAAATGAATCTACAGCAAGATGCCATACATTGAGATGCCATTCGGACTGGAGAATAACACTTTTATATAGAGCAGAAATAAATATATCATTAAAAAATCCGAGCTGCCCACTCAAATATAGTTCCACCACCATGCGGCTAAAAATCAGCAGTTGAAGTGAGTGTGCATAACCACAGTTAGTAAGCGTTCACCATTTAATCACTTAGTTAATCACTTACTAAACTCACTGAAAATAAATGATTTTTTTAACGTATAAATAAATAAAAAAAATTTTATTTAACTTTCAAAGGCAAGAAAAGATCAAAAAGCTTTTAATCTTTCTGCTGAGCTTCTTTTGAGAGAAATTTCGTATCTTGAGGTGCTGCAGAAAGTGAAACGAATGCTTAAAATATGTCACATGTGCCGAAACCTTTTTTGCCTCCATATATTGGCTTAGGATTTTTCCTATTCTTTCACTTTAGAACTTTTTTCTAATTTCTGCGAATTTCTTTAAAAAAATTTTCTCTAAGACTGAAAGAGAAACAGCTTCCTACACCTACAAATTCACCTTTTAAAAAAAATCAAAGATTAATCAAATTAATTTTATTTCTGGATGGGAATAAATTTGTTCTAAAAGTGAAATCTGCCTATACAACTTTTAATTTCATCCTTTGACGAAATGATGCCATCCTAAAAGTCAGATAAGTAACTGGCATTTATTATTTCTGTATTAGGCTCACTGCAATCTGTATTAGTCTTACTCACTAAAAGGATGATAATTTTGTCCGAGAATCATCTATGAATAGAATTTTCTTTTTTTCTTTTTTAGGATTTCTCGATGGAAGGCTTGCACTTGGCTGAGGAAAATTAAAATGATAATCTGGGGAACTATTTTGCCCTACTGCATATGTTAAATGAAAAATATTTTTATTTTTATGCAAACAATGGGTTTCATTTATTATTTGAAATACTGCTACGCCTATTTCCACCTTTCTCTATTTCTTTAAGTGTCTTTTCCTAAGAGTCATCTAAACAAATTTATCCATAAAAACCCTTCATCATTCATGAAATTTATCAAAAATTTTTTCAAAAACATTGCTATTTTCATAAATGGTTAAATAATTTAGAAACTTTTTAAGAACCTTCTAAATCATTCGAATATGGTTTTTTTCGGTGCATATATATGCATAGATTTTTTTACCGTTGGTTAGAAAAAATAGTTGGAAAATAATTTCGTCAATCGGAAAATTATAATTAAATCGAAAAATCGGAAAATTTCTAAAGATGCCCTTGAATTAAATTTTATGAATTCTCGAATTTTAATTTCAAAAAAATATTTCTATCAAGTGGATTCATCAATAATACTGTCCTATTCTCCATCAATCGTTGCCAATTCATAAGATAAACTTAATATTTTCTCGAAAATTTCTGAAAATTTCCAGAAAATCCATTTTTTTGCATTTTCTTTGTTGATTATTTCACTTTCATTTTATTTTTGAAAGAATTAAGATTAATAAATTAAAACAAACAACAACATAAATTTTTTCTTCAAATTATAAATAAATATAAATTATAAATAAATAAGAATGGGTAAAATAGCTACCCATGAATGGCCAGTAGTTCAGACGATGAAACGCAGTGAATGGTATATACTCTAAACAGACATTATTCTGCTTTTAGAAGGCAATATGGTCCGCCTGCACTATTGCTAAGTGATTCGGTGGTAATGATTTTCTTACCGTACCAATGGCTAATGAAGCGAGGCGAAGCTTAACCAGAAAAGATGAGTGAGCGCTAAATGCTTAATTATTTATAAGCATATTCCTTACTCACGACAATCCAGATTATCCAGATTTTCAAGATTCTCTGCTTTTTTCCAAACTTCTTTGGTTCGAAATTGTATTAAATATTTTAAATATTCTTAATTATAAATAAAGTTAGACAGAATAATTGATAACTAATTTGAAAGCTTTAAATTAAGGCTGATTAAATTATCAAAATGATACCTGAAGCCATGATTTTATCGTTTTATGGATAAAGTTTCACTAAATTTCAAACTTCCATCGATGCAGCAGTCGTGCAGATAGGAATAATTCTAAAGACTTCAATCAACTTTAAAGAATGTAAAAATGAAAATTGTCTTCTTCGTTGAAAGAAATATTCCCATTGAATGGTTTATGAATTGGCCACTTTACTAAAGGTTTATAACATTTTAATTTTATACTAATGGTACAATTTTTACAATATTTAAATAAATTTATATAATTTATAAATCGATGCAACTTCAAATTTGGTTGGATTTCTTCACATTCTATTCGTATCCATGCTTGACGAATGCCATCTCATGGATTCCATCATTCTTGTTACTTGATGGGAAAGTAGATTGGATTATGGGAGTTGGCTTTAAAAGTGTAACCCTGGCTGTGGACATTACATTACCCATCTATACTTTTATTAAAAGCAGTAACTAATGTGTAGAACATTTCTTTAACTTTTTCAATTAAATTTGTTCTCCAATCCCAGTTTCTTCGTCTCAGATTATCGTTAATTATGTTTTATCGTTTTTTGTTATATTTCCTTTCGCCTATATTTTCATTTATTAACATGTTAAAAATAATGAAAATTCCATGCGAACTTTTCTTCTTCTTCTCGCATCCATCCACACTCACTTGAAACAAATGAAAAGTGTTGAGAAGTGTTGAGAAGAGAGTTTCAACAAGCATTTGCGGGCTGCTCTCTTTTTTTGCTCCACTGAGTGAATGAACTGGGAGATTATGCTTTTGTTTTTTTCTTATAAAAGACCTGAAATTCATTCTATTTGGTTGTTGATTGGTTTTTTATGGGTTCCTCCTTCTCTTTGGCTTCATCCACCGAGTTTTTGGTGAAGGCTGTCATATGCACACATATCATGGCATGATTCTCCAATTATTTCCCATCAGAAATAAAATGACTTAAGGCTGAATTCGGAGCGCCGATGCTATTTCCAGGTAGAGCAAATCTTTCCGAAAACCCATGTGATGCTGCAACTTACTTACTTCTATCGCAAAGGGATTCTCTGGCATATTCGTCCAATGCGACAAGCCAGCGAAGCGAGTTTAACCCAATAATGGTGAGGACTCCTAAAAAAAAAAATTATTTCTCATCATTATTGTGAACATAACTAAAATTTCCTAAAATAATTGTTTTCGATTGATACTATCTTACCCTTATTATTTCATTTTAATCAAAAGTATTTATACAATTTTATCTGCACCAATGCCTGGCAAATCTCAATCTCTGCAAATCTATTTTGAAACAAAAAAAAGTAATCTGCAGTTCTGCTTGATCTTTCTCACAAGCCATAAAGAGGATGCGATAATTTTGCCAAAGAATTGTTGAGAAATAGAAGTACGGGTGAGTCTGCCACCAGCATCTTCTAATGGCGTGCTTACACCGATTTGCTTGATTCTCGAAATTCTTGATTCTTGATTGCTTGTTGCTTTAATTGTTGATTCACCAAATATTTTGGGTAAAATTTATGTGTTTGAATAGTTTAGCTTATGCTATGCATTATTGTAATTCTTTTTAATTCATCATGTTTAATTAATAATTTTATATTTATTTGTTCTGCATTATTTTAATTTTTCTTGAATAATATCATTAAGTATTTATTTTTTCATTGTTGCCACATGAAATAAAGTTTTTATGAATCTGTTCATCAGCAAATTTATATTCAATTTTTAAATTAAATTTAATTTAGTTGTCATAATTTTCTAATTTTTAAAAAATTATTTATATCGACTTGAAAAAAAACTTGTAACAGATGAATGGTTCTTGCTCAGATTATCGCCTCGAGCATCAATGCAGTCCGCTTTCGACAAGAGTAAATTCGCCGTTATGAAATCCGGATGTTGGATTATGGATTATATGTGCTCTCGTACCTGAGTACCCAAACGATTCTGTGGCAAACATCTCCCACCCTAATTACATGGCCGAACCTAAAATTGTGAGAGCTGGCGCAATTTTTAACTTTTTTTTACAATTTTCTTTGGATTCTTTAGCTTTATTTTAACTTTTAACTTAGCTTTTAACTGAACTTGAAAACATAGATTTTTAACAGATTTTCTTAATAAATAATCGAATTCATGCATTAATATCAATTCTTAATTGTACTAATCCATGTGGCGTTTTTTCGACAAATTTCTCTAAATGAATAACAAATTTCTCTTTAATTACTTATTTGTATTTGAATTACAAAATGATTTTATGGCGGAGAATTCACACACTTAAATGATTATTATTATTATTATTGGTTGATGATATATATATAGATTAGTCGTGGCTTATCGAAATAAATAATTTGCTTAATTCGTTTACTAATGTCACTCATTTTAAAAAATTTTATCTTCAAAAATAGAAGGCGCTTAATTTTTTATAAATCTTAATGATCGTCAATTATTTGAATGCAATAAATCCACAAATCGTATTATTATTTTAAAAGACCTTTTCTAATGTGTAATATCTCTTTGCTTTTTCGTTTTTGTCACAAATATTGGTTGAAAAGCACTCGAAAATGTCAAACCCAGGCTTTTGAGGCAATGGCAAAGCACGAGTATCAAATCCGCAATCTATAGGGCAGCACAAAATCAAACTTTCAATATTCTCATTTGGTTTTCCATCAAATTAGGCATCACATTACTGAATGCAACCAAGAGAACCAAATGATTGCATGTCCTTGTTCCAAATCAACACTGGAAATATAAGAGCACAGTTGAACAAGAGATGATGATATGTAGATGTTTCTTGCTTTAACTGAGCTTTATATAAAGTAATCACGATACTTATCTTAGAAATTTCATTCTAGTTTTGAGATCAGAGAGAAGTGGAGGAAATAAAATATTTCTGAAAAAAGCAAGAATATTCTCATTTTAGGTGAAAATACCTAAAAGTACCTTTTGAAAAATTTGTTTTCAATGTTTTCAACTCTACTCAAAATACTGTAATTTTAATAATCATTGCTTAAATTCATTATTACGAGTTTAGTTCCTAATCCGATAACAATTCCTAACCCGCTAAGCTTCAATATCTTGTGACGTGATTTCTATCTCATTCAGCCATTTTAAATTCCACCTTTATTTTATATTGTTTAAAAATTTGTTGCTTTTATTGAGAATTCAATAGTATTTACTTTTAAATGGTTATTTGTAATGTAATTTGTAATGTCACAATATGTTATTATTAACATCAACTAGCATACATTCTTTTTAGTGTTTTACTGGCAATTACGATTTACGATTAAAACCTCTTCGCCAGAGGGTTACTTGGGAATAGAAATACAGAGTTCCAGTTTTGTATCAGATAGGAGTCATAAACAGGAAGTCAGTTCCATTTCATACGCCATAAGCCTTCCGCAGAAAAATTTTATGGAAAGATTAATGCAAATTAATACAATGAAAATAGACTTTGTGGATAAAAACTGGACTGTTTTTCAAATTTATTGCAATTGTCAAAGCATCAGTGAATATAATGAAATAGCTATAATAATGACCACGTATGAAGATAAATCTATTGAATTTTATGCTACGATAAGTACTCACATTTCAGAAAATAATGGAGGTGACAATGGTTTTAGCCGCAGCCATATGTAGACCTCTTATTTTCGCAGTCCTTCTTCAGCGTAAGTCACTAAGAATTTTTATTTTAAAGGTTTTTATTTCACATATATTTGTTGTGTTATACATATTTTATCTATTCTATTAAATGGAATTCCTCCTGAAAAATCTATAAAACATTAATAAATGAATGAGCAAACTATGGTCATTTCCAAAAATTCCGTGATGCAAATATGTAAAAAATTATTATTTTCTGATCAAATTAAATCATATCTGCCATATATGCGATGTTTTGCGGAGTTCTTACATTTGTCAAATTTCAGATACTGCATTAATTTTTTGCCAAGGTGATGATAGCGACTATGATATTGCAAAGCATGCAGCGCATCTTCCATGGGATCTCAGACATCAGATCTCAGATGCCGCATTCCAAATTCCAGTTCGTTATCTTTCTTCTTTAACTTGCTTTCAATTCAAATTATCATCTAGATAAGGGTCGAAATTCCTAAAAGCATTGCGCTAATATTTATAATTTGGAATATAATATAATCTTAGTTCGAAACTCATTAAGTTGTATTAGTCAAAGTAATTTTCGATCTTTCATTTGGATTACCTCACATTTTATTACTAAAAATTAATATTTTTGGATTTTATACAGCAAATTTATTGAAAATATTGCGATTGAATGCGGTTGAATGCTGTAAAACACTTCAAAATATGGCTTCATAATACAATTAATATGCGAAGCCATTTCATTTCAATAAATTCAATAAATCCATTAATTTTTTTAAAAATGTGAATTAATATTCCTCTTCCTCTTCTTTTCCACTTAGTTCCACTTCAGAAATTTATTATTTTAACAAGTCAATGCAAATAATGAAATAAAAAAGCGAATAATGTTGGCGATCCACCTACACTTCTTCCGCCAACAAGCTAGTGGAGCGAGTCGAAATAGAAAAGCGAGTGCTCCTAGAAGAAAAATAAAATCCACAAAATATAATATCAAAGAAAAATGATTAATCACAAAAAAGTAACAAAGCCACCTTACAAACAAAAGTTAATAGCTAATTTATCATTAATAATTAGCTGAATGATTAATATTATTCAGTTTTCTTTTGAAATTAATGGATTATTAACATATTAAGTCAAAATATTGCATCCATAGGCGATTTATTCCGGTGCGGGTAAGGCAGCCGAGTGATATGCTTCGATTAAGCACCACAAACTGTCGCTAAAATATGATGCAAATGGGCGCATATGACCCATTTGTATTTCTTTTCGTCAAGTAATTCTTTGTCGAATGAGCATTACTCCAATAGCAAGTGGAAGCAGCCAAATGGTTCGAAGAAAATTCGATTGCAGTAATTGCCGGTACGAATAAAAAAATCATAACTTCGTTTTGATAGCTTTTCGATAGCCTTTAATAGCTTCAGATGATGAAAAGAACAAGTAAAACAAAAAAAGAGCGAGACGATGTCCAAGACAACCAAGAAAGTAGATGGGCAAGTCAACTTCGTCTCGGCAAAAGACGACGATGGGCGAGCCAAGTAAGATTTGGAAGAAAGAGATAAATCACTATGAGCCGATGGAAATATATTTCGCGTGTTTCGAATGGTTTAATTCATTTATTATTTTCCTTGTGCTTCAACAAATAATTTACATATTTTTCATGCGGTGATCTAATCTATTTCCAGTATTTGTTCACCATTAATAAATCTATTAAATAAATATACGTGTCGCCAGTCGCCACTTCAGTGTTTCAATAGATATTTGTGGAAAGTTGCTGCTATTGTTGCCAATAAAAATTCCAGGAAATTTATGATGAAACAATTTTATTTTTGAAAACAAATTATTTCAATAAAATATGATACATTTTAAATATAAAAAAGTCGAATCACAGGCAAGAGAATACAATGCAAAGCTAAATTCAAATGAATGACAAATTGCTGGAGCAAATCACTATTGCAATAATCAATGAGGTCAATAGGTCGAGTTCCCAAAGGTATCTTAAGCTCAAATCCAAATTGTATTAGATATTGCATCCATCTCCAACATAAGATTCTATTTTGAAAAAATCTGCCAATTTAAGCCCAATAGCCCAATTTCACAACCTTTTAAAGCATTATGTATTTAAATGCTTCATATTTAATTTCGGCCATTAGTAAAAAGATATCAAAAAATAAACATATTCCTCGTCCTGCAGCTTTACTGTAAATTTATTCCTTTATTACGCAAGAAAAAACAAAATTTAAAGAATATATATCAATAAAATCCATCGAAATTACTAGACTTTCAATAAAAACGAAAAAAAGGGGAATAATTAAGTGAATCAAGCAAGATAAAATTGCAATATTTATATATAAAATATATTTCATCAGTTCCTTACAAAAAAGAGGTCTAATAGGTCTTCCCTATCGTTCTCAACTTGGTCATCAATTATATAAACCGAATTTTCATTTGGAAAATACCATAAAAAATTAAATTGATCAATAAATCCAATTATTAAAAACTTATTGTTCTAATTATTGTTGTCTCCTTTGTCCTTCTTACATTGCAAATTATCCCTTTTGAATTATTTAAATTACCTTGCCCTATTCATAAAAAAGGTGTTCTTAAAATACTATAAAATATTTCTTTTTTTCTCACATATCAAAATCATAGCCCATAATCTAAAAAAAACTAAATATATAACTCTATTATGCAAAAATATTGGAATCTGAAAATCCAGCCTTTGTTTATGAATGATGCTGTTTTTTCACTTTCACTGAGCAGATAATGGAAAAGCTTGGTGAAGAAAAGACCAATAAAATTACAAAGCAGCAAATAAAGGCAATGCTTTGGTCGTAGTAAATTAAATGGGAATTACACTGGCCGAACATAGAAAAAAAAAGAAAATAAAGCAAATTCACTCAATAAAAAAAATTAAAAAAAATGGAATGCACCACTTTTAAGTACGACAATCTCTGAGACTAATGATGATATGAAGAAATACGAGGAACTGATGTAAAAAAAATCACCTCTGAACGAGCTGCATTATTTGTCGAATGATTTGTTCAAATTGTGGAATTATTTGTTGTTCAGCTACAAGAAAATCTGTTGTTGCAGAAGATGCACATTGTCGAAGCTGTTTTATAAAACCATCCATACGATTTAGAAGCTCACTTAATTAGTTTCAATAAAATGTGGAAAAAGAATAATACAAATCTTTTACCATAAAAACTTATTCTATAAGTCAAAGGAAAAATAAAAAAAAATCAAGAAAACACAAGACAATCAAAAGTAAGCTTAATTTCCAAATATACTTTTAGATGAAATTGAATTCAAAATTTTACTAGTTCTTTACGATAAAAAATACTGAGTACCGAATAAAATAAAACGATACCTGCGCAAATTTCATAAAAAAGATTTTAAAAAGTCATAAAAACCAACCGATAACGAAATTTCGAATGAGGTGAAATATTTTCTGCATAAATTGCACACATATGATGAAACTGTTGCATAATATCACTCAGACGAATTAAAATAGCGTTTTGAGCATCATTTCGAGCTAAATTTTTCTCACTTCGAGCAATGCGTTCATTTCGTAAGTCGCATATACAACCATCAAGACGCCTATATAATTCTAACAAAGAATCTTTATTCACCTGAAATTGAGAACATAATGAAAAAAAGAAATCCATTTTAACTAATAAAAAGAAAAACAGAAAAAAAAGAGAAACTGAAAAAACAAGAAATAAACGAATTGAAACTCACAATAGGCGATGTTGCCTCCATTGAATTATCAACAACTGCTTCTGTTGGCGTAAGTACACTTGATGAGTTTTCCATCATCGAAAACCGTTTATCGCCACCTCTTTGGAACTGTGCTGTAAAATTTTAATTTAAGAATTCCAGATTTTAATTTAAGAAAAATAGAAGTGAAAAAAAGCAATAGATAAGATGCCCACAGAATTATCATAAATTAACATATCCACAGAATTATGTAGTTACAATAGGTTGCCTTTTCACATTTATTTCGTCACCAGTTAAACTAATAAAATAATAAAAATGTTGGCACCAATGCGATAAAAAACAGACCCAAGATAAATATGAGCATAAGAGGAAAAGGGAAATAAATAAAGCAGTAAGCTACAAACTCTACAAAATTTTTTGAATAAAAATTCAGTAAAATAACCTTTTGTATTGGATGCTGTATTATTTGAACCTAATTTTTCAAATTTCGACGTTAGATCGCGAAGCGATTGAGCTCGGACCATTCCATTATTGAAATCAAATTCATCAGCTTCATTGAACAGATTTGGCTGCCTGCTTCGACCAGGTCTTAATTTTGCCATAACAGCTTGACCTTTCCGTGCATCTTCATCCATAGAAGAATCTTTTGGTATAAGTACAGAATTCATCTGAAGTATTTATATCTGAAGTATTTAGTATTAAGTATTTTCAAAAGCAGTTTAGGTAAATTTTACATTTCATATTATAACTGCTTATTGCAATTGCCTAAAACAGTATTAAGTAGAAAAATAGTTTAATAATGCAACCAAAATTGATACAAACGAGAATTTTCTCATTTCTAAGAACTCACTTTATTCACTCGTTGCAATGTCGAAAACTGTCGTGGCTGAGAAGTACAAAGTGATTGATTCTCAAACGTATTATCACTCTTCAATTTTTCTTCTGAAATGAAAACAGATCTAATTAAGATAGAGGAAGTTGCAACCATGCTCGAAAATTAATCAATTACCAGCTGATATGCAAAGAAATAATAATAATAATTAATAATCTAATAATCATACTTAAGCCATAGCAGATGATAAACCAGTATATGACACAGTTTTAGAATATAACAATTCTATATATCAACATACAAAATCATATAATCCACCTTTATTTGATTCATTATCCGACGAATCGCTACAAACAGCCTGTGGCTGCATGGAAAAGGGCCGATGGTGCTGGAGAGGAGCCACTTTTTGAGTGACCAAGCTCCGCACTCGCGCAGTTTCGATTCCAACGGGTTCGTTTTGTTTATTTCTAAAAAAAATATTCAAGATTACTAGAAAGTTCTGAAAGTTAACCTAATAATCAAGAAATGAAAAAGTTATTGATAAACACTGAAAAAAATAAAAATTTACTTTTCTTCGTTTAATGGCTCTTTCATCTGAACATGTTTTAACTGTCGAATCTTCGCACGAAGTTCATTCTCTTCGCCAATTAAAGCCCCAACTTTTCCTACTCGTTTAGAATCATGGTTCACAGCATCCTTCCCGATATCTTTTTCTCGTCGAAATCCAAAACCAGATTTATTTTTGACTTTCCACTGATCATCAGTTTGTGATATTCTATCAACCTTGAATAATTAAATTAAATTAATTTAAATCCTACAAAAACAAATTGTAATAAATTGATTAAAAAATTTTAATTAAAAAATAGAATAATATAAACCTTGCGAATCTGACGAGGCCTTGGTGTTGTAGGGGAATGAGGGACTAATTGAGGATCATTTTGACTTCCACTTGAATTAGAGTCTGAACGAGCAACAGCAACAGGTGATTCAGATTTTGTCTTCTTTAGACGCCGTTTCAATTGCTGTAGAAGCTCATTTTGTCCACAGTTCATACTTTCGCTCATTGGATTATTGTTTCTGAAAAATGAAATCAAAATTAATAATAACTAATTATTTTTATTGCACTTTCATTTTCAAATGAAATATTTTCTCATTTTTTTTTAGTTAAAATTTGTTCCCAAATTGAATAAATAAATAATCATTCACCTGGATTCATTATTCAAAATGACTGGAATTGAATCTAATGAATCATCTGATACAGCTCCACTATGTTCATTACTCATATTACCAGATCCATCATCAGAAGGAGTTTGAGTTTTCATCGATTCGAGATATGCATCAATACGAGCATTCTTTGGCATTGTACCAAATTTGTTCGCAGCTTTTCTCAAATTTTTTTCCGCCAAAGCTGAGACAATAATATCACTATCTGAAATTGTTTTTAAACTGTTTGTATAATGTTCAGTAATTGACGACTTTTTTTATTCATATAAACGAAAAAAAAGACGATTCCTCCAATATAAAAAATAATTTCTGCTGATTTTTCAACTGACTGCATATGAATAATTCTATAATAATCGTCGAAATAACAAATTCATAAACTAAAATTTTAAACCAAAAATGCGAAAACTATGTACACTTAGAAATGATGAAAAAGAAAAAAATTACGCCATATGTATCTCACAAAAAACATACTAATTTGAAAATCAGGAGGATGAGATGATGAAAACGATCCTTTGAGCAATTTCGGTTTTGCTGAAGAAGGTGGCACAGGTAATGGCAATGCTCGGCGATTTAAAGTTTCTGATCGAGTCGATTCATGTCCACCTCCTGAATTTAATTGTGCGACTCCAACTAAAACGGATGAAACACAATGATCATGACCATAGGATGGTGGAGGTGGAAAATCAATGGTAGGAAGAGGCATCAAAGTTGAACGGCGATCATCAGTTCCACTAAGTTTTTGTTGAACAGAGTTAAGACGAGGTGTTACTGGTATAGCAGTCGTTTGATATGATGATGAATGGCGATATGAAACTCGAGATCTTTCCAGCTGCCTATCAACCTACAAAGCACCTGATAAAAAAACTTTGGATAAACTTTCCTTATATACGTCCAATAAATATTATCGTATAAACCTATATTCTACGAAAATTATTTTAATCAAACCTCATCATCAATATTTGACTGAGGAAACATTGATTCTAGACTACTATGAATTTCTTTGAAACGTGGCCTATCACTAGGAGACCAATTCCAACACTGAAGCATAAGACGATAAACAGATGGTGGACAGCCCTCTGGCGCATCCATTCGAAATCCTTTTTCGAGAAGTCCATATACATTATTCAATTCGACTCCAGGATATGGACTAAGACCATAAGTTGCAATTTCCCACAAAAGCACCCCAAACGCCCAAACGTCACTTTTTGTGCTAAAAAAAATCTTTAATTTATAAATGCATTTAAAGAAAATTTACTTAAAATTACTTAATATTAAAATTGCTATTTGAAAAGAACCATTGAAATCAATTTAAAAGATATACCGCTATTTTAAAAAATATGCAAACTATCCACCTGAACGTATTGTAGGCTAAGCCTTCTGGTGCGGTCCATTTTATTGGGAATTTAGCACCTGCATGTGCTGTGTAAGTATCCTCCCGCATAAATCTTGCTAAACCAAAATCAGCAACCTTGACAACATTTTCGTCTGCAACTAGGCAATTTCTAGCAGCCAAATCCCTAAAAATATAGCATAATAATTCACGAATTTTAAGATAGCAGAAATATAAAAATAAATCTTTTATTTTTGTGAATGTAAATTTTTGTAAATTTTTCTCGCCAAATACAAGCAGAGAGTGATCTAATGATTTCTTCTCTCATTTCTTCGCTCGTCAGAGGAAAAAGATAAGCAAGATGGACTTAATTCTTCTCTTTAAACCTTTTATTAAAATAATTCATATAGTACTGGGAATTCTATTTCTATCCTCAAATGGTAAAAAATGGTGAAAGAACCTCGCCTTATTAATCAGCCAAACCATAAATGACATGAACAATCTAATATAGTTAATATTATCATTTCAAATATATAAGGAAATGTGAATTTTAAAGTGATGTACTTTTAATTTTAAAAAATGAAGACCTATGAATAAAATTTCTTGATTCCAGATAGGCCATCCCAGATGCGATTTGAGTTGCCATATACATTAATACGGTTGGAGACAATCGTTTATTATGTTTCCTAAATGAAAAAATATTAAAAAATACATGAAATTTACGTTTAAGAAAAAATACTTAAAATAACCGGAATTTAAAAGAAATTACTTAACCAGTTTTAATCTGAAAATGATACATTTTCAAAATTTCATTTTATCTTTCATTTTTTAAAATATAAAATAGTACCTTAAATAATCTAAAAGATTTCCTTTATTCATATATTCCGTAATAATATAAAATGGAGGTTCCCTAGTGCAAACACCCATCAGCTGAACTAAATTAACATGATGAAGACCTTTCATTATTGCAGCTTCAGCGAGAAAATCATGCAATGCCATCGCTTCTTCCTGAAATTATTCTTTTGATATTTTCTAATTAATAACTGCTAGCCTATTAATCATGTCAATAGGCAATTAACTAAATAGAAATGAAACCTTCAGTGTTTTAACAGCAACAATTTTTTCGTGTTTCCGCCAATATGCTTCATACACATCACCATATTGTCCACCACCTGCAGCTCATCAGTGAGAAAAAAAATTCATTGAACTATAGAAAAACCAAACAAACAAGGTAGTTTAAACTAACGCTAGAAAAAGTTAAAAAATTTAATGCTCAAAAAATACCTAGTTTATTCCTCATAATAATTTCTGACCGTTCAACTTCCCATTCATCAGGTTGAGTTGGTGACAAAGAAAAAATAGTAGGAGGACGTTCTTTTTTCGGCGCGGGATAAAGAAGAGTACAAATTAAACCATCAGCATGAATACTATGATGGTGAACTAATTCGCCGAGACTTTTGAATTTGCTTTCTTGGGTTATGTACAACTGAAAACAAATTATATATAGCTGAAATTTTAAGGAAAATAAAAAAACTAAAATTTAAGAAAAAAAGCCAGAAAAATCAAGCCAGAAAATGAACGAATTTAAATTTCCAACTATTTAATTGATGTTTTATAAAAATAAAGTTCAAAAAAAAAGCCATCGCTAATGAAAGAAAATAGTCCTAATAATGAAAGCGCTAAGATTTAAAAAAAAAAAAACAATAACGTTGTAATAACAGTTACCCAGTCTCGAACATCAACCGATATTCTATAATGATAAACACGACCATCGTGACGTACAGAGATGGAAAATTGCCCGATACTTGTTTCCGATTCTCGCACAAGAAAACTGCCATTTATACCTGAACTCAATAAATATTCGCTTTCATTTCGACTAATTTTACCATGGTACCTGAAAATTAGAAGACAAATGAAATTAGAAATGACATTTCATATATATTTCATATACATTTCATATCACCAAGCTTTCACCTTTCCAAAATTAATTTGGCCAGAAAACCAGAATGAAATATCCATTTCTTACATACTGCATCCTTCAGCATTTTTTTTCTCATGCAAAATATTGCTAAAATGAGAAAAATTTAAAATCGTTACCATGAATGCTTTTCCAATGAATTGGCAGGCGTCACATATGAAGATGGTACCCATCCGATAGCACCAGTGCGATGCAATGCTCCATCACGCCTTGTGCTGATCAACTGTGCTTCACACCATTCCCCAGCTTTATTATGCCCAATTACGCGCAAACGATCTCCTGTATTTTTTAGCAAAGTAATTGCAAATAAAATTAAAGTTTGAAATTGCCTTTTTAGCAGAAATATCGAATGTAATTACTCTAAAATATCTGGAAGAAATATCGATTCGTCAAATTTTAACTATTTTATTTGTTGAATAATAATGGATAATGAGAAGATTAAATGGAAATCTAAAAAAGAAATCTAAAAAAAACCTTTGCGAAGTGAGAGCTGTTCTTCTCCAACTCCGTGAAAGTCATACAATGCAACGAAAAGCTGTTCACTTTCCGAAGACATTGACGAAAGATTCAACAGATCATCTCTAAAATCAATAAACAAATTGAGAATTAATTATATGTTTAACACATTTATTCAATAAAAAACATAAATAATTTAATTTCTGAACAGATAGATCGCATAGATTTACGCTCAGATTGGTAAAACTAGATGTTGTAGAATTTAGCAGAAAGTTGGTTAAAAATTACTGATAAATTTTCGGATTAATCATCTCATATGATAATAATGACTGCATTCTATGCAAACTGCACATAATATTAAAATAATGACTGCAATATAAAGACTGTAATAATAGCTTGACTTTAAGTTAATCACAAATCTACCAAAAGTACTTGGAGATTCTTATTACTTATGAACAAAAACAAATAAGCTAAGTATGCTCTCACAACATGGACTTCCACTTCGCCAAATAATTCAGGGAAATATATTAGTACAATTAGCAGTTTTTTGCTCAATATAATCTTCATTTTTTTTTCATCTGTGAACTAGGTTTGACGTAAAATAAACAAAAAATTAATGGTTATGGAACAAATGAGAAAAAATAAGAAAAATGAAAAAGCTTTGCAAATTATATTAAAAATCGTATTATCTGGTTATAACAACTGAAATGATAGAAAATAATCAATCATATCCAATCTAATTTTGACAAATAACACTAAAAAATCCAACAAAAATCAACTTTATCTCTAACTTTATTAACTTTAACCTTAATTCTTATCAATTTTCAGACAAGTAGTCAATCGCTAAGATTCTTTTAACAAATTGATAAAATAATTCATGACGATAACGATTAGTGAGTATAATTCGCGAACAAACACAAACCTCGATGACCATCTTGAAGATTCTCGCGCATGCTGTGCGAGAAATGTATCGACGCTTGATGGTGCTCGTTGTTCCATATCCGAAGAGCTAAGTATGCTCTCACAACATGGACTTCCACTTCGCCAATCATATGACAAGCTATCCAAACATGCTGCAAAGGAAAAAAATTTTTCATATCCAAACGATATTTGTTCAGTATAAAAAGAAACGAATAAGGGTTTTTTATACTTTCAATGTTCGCAACAAATTTTAAAAAAAATGTTCAAAAATAAATAATTGAAAAAATGGAGAGTGATAAGAATCGGCAAATATAATTTTTTTCTCACTTATTATCATTTCAACCACTTTTAATATTTAAATAGCATTTTTATTCACTGTGGGGATTCACAGATTATTCTAAGGACATTCACTGTGTCCGATTTAACTGTCTCGAATAACTATTATATTGGATAAGAGGCTTAGTTACTTGGAGGATTAAAGTAAAAACTGGCTGTTTCAAAATTACACTGATTATTTCTGGCTTTAAGTACACTGGCTGAGGATGAGAAACTTGCCAAATAATGAGATTAGAAGTACAGGTGAACTGTCAGTCGTTTAGTGAACACTCAGTCATAATGTCCCTTCTCTCTGGAATATTAAAAAATTTGAATAGAACGGAATACCTTAAAACTCTAACCACAACGAAAAATAGCAGTATGCCAGTAAATCTAATCAGTGTATTTCCTGCAGGCTTTCTTCTGAGAATATTTAAGCATAAAATACCCGGAAACAAGTTAAGCTATCTCCTTTTCATATACCATATTAAATGAGTAAGCATATATCAACATAAATAAGATTTATTCTTTTAATAGCTTTAATACCAAAATGAATTCATCTTACGCTCAAACATAATTTATAGGAAATTTATACTTTCATTTTCATTTATTCATTATTATTTAAATAAAAAAATCTTATTTGTCAACTAAAAAAAGGACCGAACCATATAGGAAGGACAAGAGAAAGAAATGAAGAAATCCAAAATATATTTCTGTTTGCCGTCGGAATCGAAGGGAGCCAATTTTATTCAACAAAAATCTTTAAAGAAAAGAAACTAGTTCACGGATAAAAAATCCTTAGAAATTATTGTTGCAATTACGACAACTCACTCGATCAAATTGTTCGAAGATTAGCTCCACTTCATAAAAAAAAGAATTAATAACACAAACAGGGAACTGAATAGGTGGATTATGAATAAAACTCGTGTCCTCAATGTGAATTAAAGAAGCTGAAAAATAGACCCAATTGTTGAAATCCTCAATTTAATTCAACAAATCGATTTTGCAAATATAATAGGCTTCAGACACAACAGCGCCTTAGTGGGCTAAATGACTGATCTATTCAACGATACTAATCGAACAAAACTGATATATCGTCTCTTTTCAGAAGAACTCATCCTTTAAATTTACTTTGGAAAATAACCGTTCTCGAGCGATGCGAACCCAACTGCATTTCTATTCCCAAGTGATTCTCTAGAAAAGAACCTCATTTCTAACAGTCGTCGCAACCAGCCAAATCACGAAAGCAAATGCCGTCCATGCGAAGAAGAACATTCAAACATCAACCAATTTCACTAAACCGGAGAAATAAAAATACGGCAAAAAAGTAAATTGAAAGAAAAGAACGACAAGTTAAAGGATAATATAAATGACAATGAAGGAAATCAAAAAATTCCCATGTCCTTGATAATAATTCCAATAATAATTATAATAATAATAGGCTTACATCAAAGATGAAAGGCAAAATTTCCTCAGAAATTATTTCTTTTCCAAAATCGAATTGTTTAGTTGTACAGTAAAAGAAACTTCAATTTCGGTAAAATTTTCACCTTTCGACCTCATTTCCTCAGACCAAACAAATAATAACTGCTTCCTTAATGGATCTTTTAACACTTATTAACTTATAAACAATAAAAGCACAACAAGAAATAGGTCGCTTCACACAATCTTCATTACCAAAAATCACTGAAACAACCACGATTATTCTAAAAAGCAAACTCAAAATTTCGAATTAATACAGCCAGTTTTTTAGCGAGAAAACATGGACGATATTCTCTATCGATTATAAATTAGAGCTTATTGGAGAACGACGACTAATCGCCAATTGTCGCTCGCCGAATCGATCCCACCATCGTCTATCATATTCTACTCCTTTATTTCATACAAATAATCGTTTATTTTAGACCAATCCTTAATAGTAAGTCACAAAATTTCCAATTTGTTGCCCAACTAAAAATCACTTTTTTCAAAGAAATGTTTTGCGATTTTTTAGCCATTTAGTAGCAAAAATGTTATTGCTAATGATTAAAATCTTATTATGTTATGCCATAAACGCTGTCTTAATTTCTATCTAAATTTAAATATTTTTTAAATCTTTTGGCACCCATCCGCCAAATAATGCAAGATTTAGTATAAATTTTACCCTAATTCTTCAAAAATCTCCCTATTCTTTAATGAGGATAAAACGATAATTTTTTCTTCAACGGCAATTATCAGCAAATTCATAAATTATTTTTCAATTAAAATGCATAATGAATAATGGAAAGTGATCTTATCATTTGCACTCATCACAATAAAACCGTGCCGAAAAAATATTAAGCTGTCTCATCATTAATCAAATTTCCTGAATCGAAAGAAGAAAAAGTGAAAATGAACGATATATTTATTCAGTTCAATTCAAATCCTTTTAAAAACTGTATCGATAATATTTATGATGGTATTGCATGGAGCACGCCCTCTTTTTATTATTTGCCTTTTGTTCCTTTTTTGCACGAAATTATTTACGGAAAATCTGGAATTTCAATAATTCTAATTCTTATTATCAGTAATTATCAGTAATTCTTATTATCAGTAATAGTAAATAGTTCATACAATTTTTATAAATTGATATTTTATTTTTTGGTATCACTATGCTACTCTCAAATCTTCAGAATTAATCACATAATGAATATCCTTGCCTTCACTTCAATAAACAGTAAAAATCTCGTCGTCCATCTATAAGAAAATATTGGAAAATAAATATATAAATGAAAATGAAGATAAAAGACAAATGCGGAATGGGTAAGAAAACAACTGTAAATTAATATAATAATATAATATAGTATAACACTAAAGCAAATAATAAGTCGATGTGAAGCAATATATAGCAATTTCATTAATAAAGCAAATAACATGTAAATGGCCAATTTAAAAATCTATAAAAGTCAATAAAAACAAATAAAAAGCATTAAATATAGATTTAAAAACTAAAAAAAAAATTTTTCCCATATTTTCGTAATAATTTCATAATTATCAGAATTATTCTTCTCTGCAAGAAACCTAAATTTTCTTTTTTATTTCTAAAACTTTATAAAATTTTTTTGAATTTCGAAATTAAATTAAATTAAATTAATTATTTTTACTTGTTTAACAGCAATAAACATATCATTCAAGTCAAATTCAAGTGGCTGATGAGGACCGACCCTATTCCCAACGGTGAATGGATCAAGCAAATCGCAAAACGTTCACGTATCGGTGGGACATACAATAAAAACGACCAGGACATAATAATAACAATAATAACATTAAATCGGATACAATAATAACATTAAAACAGCCATGTAAATTCTCGAGCTAAAGGAGTTGCTCTTAAATAATTCGGGTATCTCTGTACATGCCGCGAAGTCTTAGTCCTAGCTATGGATATAAAGCCAGGCAAAAACTATCCACACCCTATCCAAGTATCGTGTGCATATCCCTATCGGAAGTCCATTTTCCTAGTCCAAATAATTAAATCCAAAGCAGTTATCATATCCAGTTGAAGTCCTACCTAGTTTGAACTACTGGTATAGTGGTGTATTGGATAACTTAAAGGAAATAATGTGATGACTATCTTTAATTGTAATGGAACCATGTTAATGACTAGTTGGTCGTCCGCTTTGAACTGAGTTTTTGTTAAATCCCAATATCACCAATAGATATTTTCCGTTATTAAACAAGCGTCTCCTTACATGGAACTCGTTAGATAATCAAAAACGATAGAAACGTACTTTTCCTGGATTTTTAAAAAACTTTATTCCGTCTGGAATAGAATATCATCACTGGTACTGCGATTTGAGAGTAATAGTCTACTATTCCACTATAAAGCCTGATTATATGCTATAATTTGTAAATAGTAGTTACACCAGAAACTGCTTATAATCAAAATTCAATCAGACTGGCTATATTTTAGATTAATCACCGATGGAAGAGTTCTCCGTAAGAAAGCGCAGCCAAAACTGGCAATCTCCACTAATTGGACCATGTTATGGTTAGAGATCCAAATGAAATTGACGAGCGAAAAAACACCATCCTTCAAAATCTTCTGATAACATCATCTTTTGGTTAAAAGATTTAGGAAATTTACAAAAATTCAATTAGCAAATTTCCAGTTAAAATCACCTAAATGACTTTAATAACATTAACATTAACATCTCTGGAACTGTTCGCTCCAGTTGAAGTTCTGCCTCCAGAGCCAACTAAATCCGCTCTAGGAAGGAACAAAATGGGTCTCAGATGAAACGCTTTAGCTGTGCAAATGAGTCGTAGCAAAATATTGATGCTGGAACAATATGGTTTTGAATAAGATAGCAGCTCGAGTCGGTCATTATATCCACTTCGCAAAACAACTGGAGAAATGGTTAGTGAAATGATCTGAGATAAGGATGGAAATCCATACTATCAAATATTGTACTTCCCAATCTAAACGATGAGTCATCATATGAGACACGAATCATCCTCAATATGGTTGAAATGCATTTAGAGTCGCGATTGCAACTGCGAACCCGAAAAAATTTCACCAGCTTAAGCCCAATAAAACCCTCAGAAAAGATGGTCTGCGAACTGAAATCTTCACATGCTGCACCATAATCTTCACAACACACCTGCAGAGACACCTTCACATCAAAGTATGTGAAAAGAGCTATAGGTGCGTCAAGGCTGTTCACTCTCCAACAATTTTCATCTATGTGATAGACTGGGTTATCGCTTGTGGGCTTAGCTCGCTTGCCAAAGAGTGCACAAATCACTCCAAATTATATCATAGGTCTTGAATATACTACTGATGTTATTTATTCATTTTGTTGGCAGTTTCGAGGAACCACAATTATAGCACTATATACTAAAAGACAGCATAAGAAATTCTTACAGACGAGACCTCTTATATCTCGAGACTG